GATTTTGTCACTATTTCTGGCTTCATTTTTTTTACACTCAGAGTCTATTTCTTCAGAGACTATACCTATTGGTGTATAGTTGAATGCATGATAGCAGGATCAGTTTATCATTAAATTATTCTGGTTATCATCAGTTCGAAAATTCAGCCCTTAAAATTTGTTAGATGAAGGAAAGTACTTCTGAGGTTGATCATGAGTCACAAGAGGGAAAATGGTAGCTTTTTTCATTTTTATGTTTCTTACCCTTGGAGGAAACATGAGAATTCATATGTGTTCATGAACCATACATTTTCTACACATTTTAATGTTATAAACAGTATGTAGTAGCACTATTAGGACTTGTTGGGACAATCCAGGTAGAGGAAATGTTTAAAATGTGGTTCCTTTGAGGTCCTTTATCTTTATCCTTTTGTAACCTTTCTTTTGTATTTTTATTTTCACTATAGCAAAAAATTAGTGTGGGATGTTGCGCTCTGGCCTAGGATAAAGAAGTGGAAAATGCCGTAAGGAAACAAGGAGTGAGAACTGTAAAGAATAAAGGGAGTTAGAGGAGGTTTCATTTCAGTATCTCTTATGTATTCCTCTTTGTTGTTGTTTAGTCACTAAGTTGTGTCTGACTCCATGACCCCATGGACTGCAGCACACCAGGCTTCTCTGTCCTTCACCATCTCCTGGAATTTGCACAAACTCATGTTCACTGAGTTGGTGATGCTATTCAACTTCCTCATCCTCTGTAGCCCTCTTCTGTTCTTCTTATTTGGCAAAGGTATACACATATGAGGGAATGCTTAGACTAGTGTAGCTGTAAGACTGCCTCATAAAAATTCAGGCCAGAAAGGATTTAAAAAATGACATTACGTATGAATATCCCATTACTTTCATATGCCTACCTGACATTAAAATCTGTGCCAAGTTTTTTTGACCTCCAAAGAATAATTCTCTAAGTTCAAACTGATGTAGTTTCAGTAAGATGCCTTTAGCAAAAATTCTCTAAAGCTGAGAGGAATACTGAACTCATTTAAAAAATTTTCTTTCAGATTTTATCCATGTGTTCTGTATCTTCTGATAAGATTATATTTATAAATGAATGAATGATTATAGAATGAATTGTTTGTTTTTTATTTTTAAAATTTACTTGTTTATCCTCATCTATATTTTTATACAATTTTTAAAGGTTAAAGTTATTACAAAATGTTGACTATGTTGCCTCTGTTTTACAATATATCATAGCCTGTCTTACTCCCAGTAGTTTGTACCTCCTACTCCCCAAGCCCTATATTGCCTCTTCCCACCCTCCCTCCACAGGTAACCACAAGTTTGTTTTCTGCATCTGTGAATCTGTTTCTTTTTTTGTTATATTAACTAGTTGTGTTTTTTTAGATTCTGCACATATAAGTGGTATCATACGCTATTTGTCTTCCTCTCCTCTGATTTATTTCACTTAGCGTAATGCCCTCCAAGGGGGCTTCCCTGATAGCTCAGTTGGTTAAGAATCCACCTGCAATGCAGGAGACCCAGTTCCATTCCTGGGTTGGGAAGATCTGCTGGGGAAGGGGTAGGCTATCCACTCCAGTATTCTTGGGCTTTCCTTTTGGCTCAGCTGGTATAGAATCTGCCTGCAATGCTGGAGACCTGGGTTCAATCCCTGGGTTGGGAAGATCCCCTGGAGAAGGGAAAGGCTACCCTCTTCAGAATTCTGGTCTGGAGAATTCCATGGACTACAGTCCATGGGGTCACAAAGCGTCAGACACAACTGAGCGACTTTCACTTTCACTTTTTCGTCTGACCCTCTCAGTAATAACTTTGAAAGTTAAGTACAGCCATCGGATTTTTACAGGTGAGGACACTGAGGCACAGAGAAGCACAGTCACTCATTGAAGTGACTCACAGCGACCCAGCCAGAGAGTGGTGGAGCAGAGACTTGAACCCAGGCCACCTGCGTTAGAGCCCCAGAAGCCGTGGGTTGTGAGCTAAGGCTCAGCAGCTGTTGTGTAGCAGGTGCTTTCTTTGTGGAGACTGTCCCTGACAAGGTGTGTCCCCTTTCATCTGCCTCAGTTTCCCTCATCTGTATAATGGCTTCCTGGCTGTGCAGCAAAGAGGGTGTGATAAAAAGGAACCAAGTGACACAGGGCTTTTCTTTATTTAATGTATCGAGCACCTACTGTAGGCCAGGCCCTGAGCCGGACACTGTGTGTGCAGAGACACAAACTCCCTGACTCCTGGGAGCTGACATTCCACTGTGGTGATGGACAACAGATAACTCAACACAGATAAACAGATGCTTTGGAGAAACAGAACACAGTGACGGGACAGTGACAAGGTGGCTGAGAGGGGACTGTCCTGAAGGAGGAGAAGGGGCCTTCCCGGGAAGATCTAGCTGTGGGGAGCGCCTTCCAGGCAGGGACAGCCGCGGTGCAAAGGCCCTGGGGTGGGCCCTGAGAGGACAGAGCTGGCCAAGGCCTGCTCTTGCAGCTGGCTGGGAAACCAAGGCACCAAGACAGGAAGGGTCAGACCCCAGGCAGGCAGCTGGCAGAGGTGGGGCTGGGCAGGGTGGAGGAGGCACACAGGGGCCGGGACCTTTGCACCCTGGCCAGACCCTTCCAGGCTGCTCGGGGGGCAGCTCCCCAAGCCCCTGCCAAGCCAGCCGTGCAGGGCCACTGCTGCCCCGGTTCCTCTGTTTAATGACAAGCCACGTTTTTCACCCTCAGCTGATCGTGCAACAGGCGTCCGTGGATCTGCCACCGTCTGGCCCCTCTTCCTGGCTTGGAACACGGGGCCCAGTGCCTGTCTCTAGAGACTGAAGGGGCGCCGAGGCTGGGAGGGCAGCAAACTCATGGCCTCGGCGCCGTGCGGCGAAGCTTCTGCGCGCTCCACGGCAGCAGGGAGGACGACTGACGGGCGGTGTGAGGGTCCGTGAGACAACAGCGGCAAGAGCCTGGCGCCGGCGAGCCCTCGGCTCTCAAAGGGGCCGAGATGCCATCCCCAGGAGGCTGCCGCCTCTTGTGTCTCCAGCATAGAGCTGAGAGCATGCAATTTCACCTCCCAGACCACCTGTGTAGGAAGCTAGAAAGTTCTCACGCGATGGAAGGGGACACTGAGTCTCTGAGAGGCTCGGCAGCTTGTGCCAGTTCNACAGTTTTAAAATTCTTCTGCTAAAAACTAATGACAATAAGCAGAATAAAATGTCATTTGGAACAAGAGGAGAGAGCTTAGGAAAACATGAGTATTTACAGGACAAGCCTCAGGTTGGCTGCAGCCAAGAGGTTGCATGGTTCTCCCCACAGTGTTGACAAAATACAGCAGCTGAGGCTGTTGTGCAGTAATAAAGGAAGCCCAGAAAGAGGTCAGGAGAAGGCTCCTGGCAGGATTTGGAACTTACTGCCTTCCAATAAAAATAATCGCCTGCTCTGCAGACCTGCAAAGTCATACCAGACAAGGCCTTCTTGCCCAAAAGCCTACACTCTGGGAACCCTCATGGAGTGCCATCCAGAGAGCCGAGGAAGAGTGCTGGGTCTGCAAAGCTATGGCTTTTCCAGTAGTCATGTGCAGATGTGAGAGCTGGACCCTAAAGAAGGCTGAGCAACAAAAATTGATACTTTCGAACCGTGGTGTTGGAGGAGACTCTTAAGAGTCCCTTGGATAACAAGGACTCTCTGTTATCCAGTCCATCCTAAAGGAAATCAATCCTGAATATTCATTGGAAGGACTGATGTTGAAGCTGAAACTCTAATACTTTGGCCACTTGATGCGAAGAACTAACTCATTGGAAAAGACTGATACTGGGAAAGTTTGAAGGCGGGAGGAGAAGGGGATGACAGAGGATGAGATGGTTGGATGGCATCACCAACTTGATGGACATGAGTTTGAGCAAGCTCCAGGAGTTGGTGATGGACAGGGAGGCCTGGCATGCTGCAGTCCATGGGGTTGCCTGGAGTCGGACATGACTGAGCAACTGAAGTGATGCATGTGTTTGTGTGTATACCACATCTTTCGATTCATTCATCTGTTGGTGAACACTTAGGTTTATTCCATATCTTGGCACATGTAAATCATTCTGTGAACATTGCAGTGCATGTAGCTTTTCAAATTAGTGTTTTTAGGTTTTTTTGATACATATCCTGGTTTTTTGCTGGGTCATATGGTTCTATTTTAGTTTTTTTTAGGAAGCTCCTTACTGTTACCAAAGTGGCCACACCACTTTACATTCCCACAGACAATGTATGAGGGTTCCCTTTTCTTCACATTTTTGCCAAGATTTGTTATTTGTGTTCTTTCTGATGCTAAGCACAATGAATGATTCCTTGTATCTGTATCACAGAATCTGCAACATGATAGCTGGCTATAAGTAACATGGGGTTAAGTCATAGTTACTGAGAATCATGCCAGGGTTCACCTTCAGCACTGTGAGTCATTAGCTTAGAAGACCCACATCAGTGTATATTTATATCTTTTTTATATCGATGGAACCGTTGACATTGTTATAGTCTGAAAAAGGATGTAAACTGACATAATGTGTGCAACTTGCACATGATAGTTCCCCTCACCTGTCTCTTTACCTTCATTTGGCATCTTCTCCTTGCTGTCTGTTTACCAGTCATACTGATCTTCCAATGCCTTGAGATGATTACGCTCTATTCTGGACCCCAGGAAATGCTGTTTCTTTGTCTGGACTGTTTTCTGTTTCATATGACTGGTCCTTTCTGGTCACTGTAGATGTTACCACTTTAGGCATACCTTTTTAAACTCCTTGGATTAGGCAAGTCCCCCTCTTTCTGTACTTCTTTTCCATCACAGAACTATCAATATAAATTTAAGTAATTTAGAGCTAGGAGATTTACCTTTTTTTTGTTCAACACTGTAACCCCTAGTAAGTAGAGCTCAATAAGCATTTATTGACTTGATGAGTACATGCATGATATTTGCATCTCTTGTGTCCTGTGATTAACATATTTATCTTTTTGCCACTGAAGTAAAATGCTAATGTTTTTTTTCTTCTCAAGAGTTTGGCTGAATTGGAAGCATTGTGTACTCATCTCTACATGGGGACTGATCTTACACAAAGAATAGAGGCTGAGAAAGCACTCCTGGAACTTATTGACAACCCAGAATGTCTCAGCAAGTGTCAACTTTTATTAGAACAAGGAACAGTAAGTATTTGATAATAGCAATTAACAATGAAAGATCGGTAGGTATATGTCAGTGTTAATCAATGCATGTAGGTTAGCAGTGTAGGTTAAGTGTAAGTATTACCACGTGTCTTTTTACTATGGTTTATTTGACTGTCAAAGAGTTGGAATGCCTAGAAAGAAAACTTAGGAAAGATCCCAGGAGGTAGAAATAACATGAATTGAAATACTTTCTTGATTCCTCTTGGCCCCCTTTTAAGTCTTCTATCAGTGGAAAAAGTTATATTTTAAAAAGTTGGAATTAAAAAAAGTCTAGGTGGAAGAAGCAGACTGTAGTTAACTCTGAAATGTGAAGGAATGATTCAGAGGAATGCTCTTGCCTTCCTGTCTTGTAGAGTTTCATAGCCATTCATTCAGCATCATTTAGCAAATATTTAATTGTAAAAGCAGGCACTGTACTACCTACTTGCTTTATTTACATACATTAAAGTAACTCATAGTTTATCTGAGAAGGCATAGATGTTTAAATAAAGAGCTGTGGAATGATATGGTAAGCACTATAGTAAGAGGTTGTAGAGAAGAGGTTTAAAAAAAGCAGACTTTTTCTGTAAAGGGCCAGATTGTAAATATTTTAGTCTTTGTGGACCAAGATGAAAAATCAAGGATGTTTTGTAAATATGCCTATCAGAAGAGAAAAAAAAATTCCGTGAAGTTTTATTGATGAAATTTAAAATAATTATAATTGAGTACAGTTTTTTGTAGTGTAAGTCTACTGATGAAAAGAATTGAATTATTCTTTTAGGGATAACATTTTTGCTTAATTGAAGTTCAGAGTTGGTATTTCCTGTCATTAGCATTGACTGCAAATGTCCATATGTTAATACGTATTTGTAAAGAGATTTTACAAATTTCATCTTTAAAAATGTCTTCACACAGATAGGTACTACCATGTATTGATATCAATTTATGAGCATAGGATTTTAATTAAGCATATTCATCACTAAAATTTCTCTTGATATTTGCCTTTTAGGATGTGATTATATTCTAGATTAATCACCTCCAGTTGAAGGTTAGGTGAAGGTGCCTGAATTGCTCAGTTAAATGGATTTTGAAATTTCCTTTGCACTTACAAGGCCTGAAAACATAGTTTGAGCTCAGAAAATATACTCAGGAATAGAGATTTGGCTACTTTTTTTTTAACATTTGACAGTGTGGAAAATGTGTATAACAGCTTGATATTATTTGTGATTTAATCAGTGTTAGTTGTTATTGGAATGACTTTATTACATTTTAAGTTTAATATTAGTATTAAGCACTATTTGCCTTATACAATTTTGTAACATTAGGTGGAATTCATTAAGAGACTTTTATCAAGTTTGCAGCAAAAACTAATTTCAAAAGCCATTTAATGTTTTAACAATAGTGGATTAAGATGGTTCTTCTCATTCAGAAAAATTTCAGTCTTAGTCCTGAGCCCCTCCAAAAAAAATTGCAGTAAGACTTTACCACTGCCAGGCTACTGAACTAGTAGTATGGTAGGGCAAGTCAGAATTTTAAGCTTCTATTTCTGATAGAAATTGTCAGAACTGAAGATGAATTCATGAAAGTGATTTAAAATCCACTGTTAATACCGTTGATTCATTAACACATGATAGATTCAGATATTTACTACAGAGTGTCTACTGATGAATAATAAGATGAATAACCAGACTCTAGACTCTTAATGTTTTTACAAGCTTTGTAAATTTGTCCAACTAAACCTTTTCTGTTCCATATATTTTACCGCTGCTTGTGACACATTTAGCAACCACTTTAGGTTACAGATTAGTATTTTCTCAGCTTCTTTGAAAATACTCTGCCCAGTAGTTTCATGTAGAGTCTTCATGAAGATTAATTCTTTAGTCACTTCAAATTTAGCATTGGGTTCTGGAATAAGCAGATCATATTGATAACAGTGTGAGCTATATGTGTTGATAACATCTGTTAACTCATAAAGAACTAAGGAGAGCCTCCAAATCTTTCACCTGGCTTGAAATTGAATTTTGATGTTGCTCTGTTTTTAACTGTCCAGGCCCTATTCTCATTGACAGGCAAGTAGTCTGAAATTCATTTTTTCTGCATGTGTAACTTTGGCTACTGAAAATAATGGTGATTTAATTAGTTCTTTGTTGGTAAGTGGCTTTTCCTACTTGGCTAACAAGTAAGCCATTTCAAAACCTAACTTTGGTTGTAGTCTTTATTTTTTTGTGGAAAAATTTCAGTGTTATATATATTGTTTAAAATTTTCTCCTTTGTCTGACTTAGTTCCCTGTGAGTTAGGATTATTGGCAGGAGTACCTAGTCTGATATTGTCAGCATATATTGTATTCTTTTAGGACAGTTATAGTGCCATTGCATAAAAAGCACATTGCTTTGCTATCTAATTCAATAGCAAAGTAATCCACGTTTCGCTTTTCCTTAAAAGTTAGACACTTGAAGTCTACTCCTATCTTTTCTTATTTTGATATGACAGATATGTGCTAGTAATAATAAAAGGCACACGTCATGGTGATACTCATGGTACTTTATGTGCTGTGAGAGTTAATAAGTACGTCGTGAAAGTTTATAGTGCATTGAGCAGCAGGAGGAGGCAACGAGTGCCACACACCGCTTTAACTATTGGACTCTGCTCTCATAGTCTGAAAGCAGACACAGACAATATGTAAATGAGTGAGTGTGGCTAGGTTCTATTGAATTTTGTTTATGGACATTGAAATTTAGATTTCATGTAATTTTCACATGTCACGAAATAGTATTAATATTGTTATTTTTATTTTTTGCCAACTGTTTAAAATAGTAAAAACCATTCATAGCTCATGGGCCTTGCAAGAACAGACAGGATTTGATCCACAGGCCTTAGTTTGCTGACCTCTGGTCTAGAGAATAAAAAAGAAAGGACTTTACAAGAGATTGCTGGGGGTATAGTGAATAACTGAACAGGATTTTGAAGGCTTGAGCATGCTATTAAGACAATTAGTGGCCAGAATGAATACAGCCAATATGGATCTGAAGGAGAGGAGAGGTCAGGATAGGAAAGACGTTGAAAGGAACTGTAAGAGGGCTGTTGTGGACAGAGGATAGTGAAGAGAAGAACCAGATGAATTTGAAGAGATAATCAGAGGCCAGATCTTGCAGTACTGTGTAGACATGATTTGTGTATTTTGTTTGAACTTGCTCATTATCATTTTTTTTCCCCTCTAAACTGCTTGCTCTTTGCAAAGGCTTCCTCAACTACCCTTATGAGGGATTTTTTGCGCGTGTGTGCATGTATGTCTGTGTATATTTTATCCCTTGTAGATCTGCCAATTTGGAAAACCAGAAAAATAGCCAGTATTGCTTAGGAAAAGCTCCTATCATAGTATATGATAATAATAAATAAAATATATTTCTTTACAGACATCCTATGCTCAACTCCTTGCAGCAACTTGTCTTTCAAAACTTGTTAGCCGAGTCAGTCCTTTGCCAGTTGAACAGAGAATAGATATCAGTAAGTGGTTTATTATGCTTTTTTAAATCCAATTGCACTTTAAAACTAACTTTTCTTTTAAATATACTCAGCTGTTAACAAACTTGCAAGTTATTTTGTCATTTTTAAAGATGAGTGGTCAAGTCTCCTTTACATATGTGGTGATGAATGATGATGTGTAATACAAAAATGTGTCATCAAAAAAGCATCTGTTTAGTTTGATAATAAATAATAAGAAGTAGCATTTTATTGTCTATACCAGGGGCCCCAAATCCCTGGACTGCAGATCCGCACTGATTCTCAACCTGTTAGGAATCCAGTCACACAGCAGGAGGTGAATGGCAGACAAGCAAGCAAAGCTTCATCTGCTGCTCCCCACTTGCATTACTGCCTGAACCGTCCCTCTCACCACCAACACACCATAGAATTGTCTTCCATGAAACTGGTCCCTGGTGACAGAAGGTGGGGACCAATCGTCTGTATCATATACTAAGATTTGCACTATCTCATTTTATTTACAGAACTTCTGAGATGGGCACTATTGTTATCCTCATTTTATAAATGAGGAAATTATATTTGATAGGCTCTATAATGTACCCAAGATCACACAGCTAGAAGAAATAGAGCTGATTCAAACTTGCACAGTTTATATGGAGTCCATGCTCTTAGCGATTGTCTTAACTTCATATATGACTAAATGATGGGAAAAGTCTACTCTCTATTCTCAGAATACTATATCAAAATCATGTGGGATGCATATAAAATTGAAAGTAGTTTCCTTCTTACTAGGAAAATAATGTGTTTAGGGATGAACAGTGCTTGAAACTTAGTATAGTTGGAAAATTGATTCTATGATATACCAATATGTTTTTCAAAGGTAAGATATTAATAAGATTTTAAGTGTGTGTTGTTTTTTTGTATGGACAAAGCTCCAATATTTGATGTATGGGGTTTTTTTTTTTGGTTATCTTTTTCATATTGGAAGTAGACTGTTGACTCATTCTACTGTCTAGCCTCAAGATTCTCGTGGTTCATGTTTGTGTAACAGAAAAATTATAGTATTATGTATGATGGTTCTTTTAAGCTCAGTTTTTGAATGATCAAATCCCACAATAATTCCTCATTTGTCTTATATGTTTGATATTTCTCTTTAAGTACCTAAGAATAGAGGGGAACTTCTTCAACTTTATAAGGAACATCTACCAAAAAAACATATGGACTGAAGAATATCTAGAGGAGAATTTATCTATTCTGTCATGGACTTGTGTGCTTAAGAAAGCAAAAGAGAAATTCATGGTTTAAAAAATAAGTCAAATGTTATAAACCTGTCATAATGTGATTTTGTTCAACTTTGCACACATACACAAACATATTTTAGGTAGACCTTTTTTTTGGAGCACTTTTAGCTTCACAGAAAAATTGAACAAAAAGTACAGAGAATTCCTGTGTACGCCTCTGGTCCTGTACATGTATAGCCTTCCTCAGTATTCACACCCACCGTTATTATTAGCATCCTGCACCAGAGTGGGTACCTTTGTTACAGCTGATTAACCTACATTGATACATCATTATCACCCAAACTCCGTAGTTTACATTAGAGTTCAATGTTGGTGTTTTTGGTGTTGTATAGTCCGTGGGGTTGGATAAATGTATAAATGACACATATCCTCCATTACTGTATTGTATACAATATTTTACTACCCTAAAATGCCTGTGTTCCAACTGTTCATCTCTCCCTTCCCTCTGATTCCTGGCAACTACTGATCTTTTTATTCTTTCCGGAGGTTTGCCTTTTTCAGAATGTCATATAGTTGAAATTATGTGTGTAACCTTTTAAGATTAGCTTCTTTTACTTAGTAATATGCATTTAAGGTTCTCCATGTCTGACGTATCATTGTCTGAATGCACCATGGTTTGTCTGTTCACATACCACAGTTTATCAGTTCACCTATTGAAGTATACCTTGATTTCTTCCAAGCTTTGGCAATTATGAATAATTATGAATAAAGCTGCTATAAAGCAGGTTTTTGTGTGTATATAAGTTCTCACCTCATTTGGGTAGATACTAAGGAGAGTGCTGGATTGAATGTATGATAAAAGTGTACTCATTAAAAATGAGTGTACTCAAAAGAAATTTGGAGAAAAGTAGAAACCTATAATGCAGTTTCAAGCTATAAATAATGTGTTTCCTTTATGAGTTTCTTGGGTTTGACTTAACTACTCTTGCTTCCTCAAGTAGATTAGAATGTTATGACCTGTCTGACATGTGTAGTAGAATAATTGGCATATCAGTTAAAATGAAAAATGTGAAGGTTGACTCAAAGTCACATTGCCTTTCTTATATCAACTCCAGAATTTTCATTCTTTCATGATATGGTCCCAGACTACATATTTCATTGTTTCCCAGCATTAACTCTATTGCCTATTCTCTGTGTTCAAGACACTGTTTTCTGCCTTTATTAGTATAATTTACAGTGTCTTAGTATTGCCCATCAATTAAAATACTGTTTCCTCTCAGCTTAGCAACAAAGTCCTTTCATGAGCTTGAAACTGGTAGATCATCCTCATAGTCTTATATCTTCATTGGTATTAGCCTCTTATTAGTTGTACCAGAGGTATTTTTCCCATACCGTGTTACTTCTGCCTTGGTGCCTTTTCTTGCGTTTTCTCTAGCCTGGAATGTTATCCTTTTAATCTTGTATTCAAATAAAAGTGTGAAAGTATTAGTCCCTCAGTCATGTCTGACTCTTTGTGATCGCTTCCTCAGGGGATCTTCCTGACCCAGGGATTGAACCCAAGTTTCCTGCACTGTAGGCAGATTCTTTACCATCTAAACCACCAGGGAAGCCTCCTCCAGAAGTGTTAGCTGCTCATTCGTGTCTGACTCTTTGCGACCCCATAAACTTCTCTGTCAATGGATCTCTCCAGGCAATAATCCTGGAGTGGGTAACCATTCCCTTCTCCGGAGGATCTTCCCAACCTGGGGATAGAACCTGTGTCTCCTGCCTGGCAGGCATGTTCTTTACCATCTGAGCCATCAGGTCAATCCTTAAATAAAAGTGTAGCTTAAGTTTAATTACCTATATAAATCAATCAGTTCTCCTTCCCTTTCTCCGCCCTTTATTCAATCCCTCCCTCCTTCTTTTCTTCCTTGCTAACTTCTCTTCAAACAGCTTTATTGAAGTATAATTTACATATCATAAATTTTACTTGTTTTAAGTGTACAATTTTTTATTTTTGGTAAATTTACAGATTTGTGTAAACATTTCCATCATACCCCCAAAATGCCCATGCTCATTGACAGTCCTGCTCCCATACCATCAACCTCTAAGATGTTTTCTGCCTGTATAACATTCACCTTTTGTGGATATTTCATTTAAATAAAATCTTACCACGTGTAGTTTTTTTACATATGATTTCTTTCACTTAACAAAATGTTTTTGAGGTTCATCCATGTTGTAGCATGTGTTGATATTTCATTTTTAATTGTAGAATAATATTCCCTTGTAGATATGTCTTGTTATCGATTCACCACTTGATGGACATTTGGGTAGTTTTTGATTTTTTGACCACAATGAGTAATGCTACCATAAACATTGACACACAAGTTTTTGAGTGGACATATGTTTTCATTTCTCTTGAGTAGATACCTGGGAGTGAAATTGCTGGGTCATAGGTAAGTTTATTCTTAACTTTTAAAGAAACTGCACTACTGTGTTTCAAAGTGCCTGTACCATTTTGCGTTTTTTACCAGCCATGTGTGAAGATTGCCGTTTTCCCACATTTTCACCTCCTAAATCTTATCTTGATCTTCTCTTGATAGTTTCTTTCTGCATGTATTCTCTCTTAAAATATTCCTTAAGCTAGCTCTTGAGCTCAAATTTTTGTGTTCACAGCATCTAGATTTGTTTCTCTTAAAGCATTTGGAGTTAATATCGGGGTATTTATATTCTCTTTACCTTTTCCCTTAAATAACATGCTAGCCTTTTGGACCAAAGTCCAAAGAGATTTTGAGTCTCAAAGTCCAAAGCTCAAGAGATTGAGTCTTTCCCCTTTCTTTTGTAATCTTTTTGTGTGTTTTCTAATAGACTTTATGGCATGTTTTTTACTTGACTTCAATCTCATGTTAAATTTCTATAATGTGTAACACTGAAAGTATCAGCCAAATGATCACAAAGTTTGGACTACAAGTTTGGACTTAGTAGAGTGTTTTTTTGTAATTAATTAATTTATTTTAATTGGAGTCTAATTACTTTACAATTTTGTGGTGGTTTTTGCCACACATTAACATGAATCTGCCACAGGTGTACACGTGTATATGAATTGGCTGGTGTTTGAAAACAGCAAACAGAAACTCAAACCAAAACAACCTGGCCTCCGTGACAGTTGTTTACCTCTTTGAAGTTCATATTTGTTGCTAAGAAACAGAGTAGTAATAGCAATATCTTCACATTGTTATGAGAGCTACATAAAGCTTTTTTTTAGCACTTTTAATTTCTAACTTGTTTCATAAATGCTAAGTATTGTTGTTGTTATCATATGGGCATTTGACATGCAAAGAGCCTCTAGTGCATAGCTTTTCAACTTTCTATTAACTTTTGTCTGGGAATTTTTCCAGCTGTTTATTTCATTCTCCCATGTGTATTACTGAACATTTCATTTTCCTCTTGGTATGACTTTTCCTTATTATCTTCGGCTGCTCCTGATGAGATTGCTATTGTTTTGCTTGTTATCATTGGCACTTGCTTATTAAACTGGAATACTATTATAAATCATGTATTGGGTTGGCCAGAAGGTTCATTCAGTTAGTTATTAAGTATAGTTCTTGGTGAAAATGAAAAATGTATCTTTTATTTTTACTTAAAACCAAACTTTTGGCTGAACCAATAATAAGCATAATATGAGAATATGTAAAACATTCAACCAACATAACAGAATTAGAGTCTATTAAATTTTTTTTTTTTTGCCTTGGATAGTAAACGTATTAGCTAGTATCTTTTCTCAAGGTTTTTGGGAGTGGTACTTGTTGATACCTACCTTAAATGGTGAAACTTGGTTTGTCTCCCATTTGGTTGTTTTATTATTTTTGAAATTAACTTGCTAGTGGTTACTGCTACTAACATATGGATTCCTCATGTCCCTTCCAGGTTAAAATTTTTCAGGATATTAAAAATAAAAATAATAGAAGTAAATAAATCAATTTTCTTTTATATTCAGGTGGCAGTATCGTTTTCTTAAGTTTCATCATGGAAATAAAAAATTATATGTAATGAAGTTTAAAAGAGCCATATAATTTAAATCCATAGGAGAAACCTCTTAATGCTAGGAAAATCTGTCTTTAATCTAATTTGTGTAAGTGTGTAATTTTAATGTTAATAAAAATTAAGGTTGAAATGTGCCAGTCGTGAGAACTTTTCTTTTTTATGTCACGATTCTCATCATAATTGTCAAGAACAGCTGTTGAAAGTGTTCTCAAATTTTGGAGTTGTTTCCATTAAAGCTACTTTTAGTTAAAATAGTGAAGTATTTACTTTTTCTTCAGTCTTTTCCCAAATTGTGTGCTGGCCTTTGAGGCCAAAGAAGAAATGGAATCTTTTCCTTTTATAACATTTTTTTCTTCTATTTTTCTGTTTGACTTTTGGCCTATTTTTGCCTCAGTTACTCCTCCATCATAGCTGGAATTTGCTACCTACTATTAATTATTTTGGTGTATAAACTTTATTAGAGGCTTTATTATTCTGTTCATACATTCTTTAACTTATATACTTATTTTATTGCATTATTTTATTTGTACGTTTTCTACCACTTAAACAGCCAGATAGTGTGTAGTCACTTTTGCTATAACATGACATATGTATTCCTAAAAGTGACTGCTGTGTGGTGTTATATAATAAAACCACTGAGCTTGTTAGAGAAATGGGGTTATAGAAAGAAAATTGAGACATTTTGTCAGTGACACATAAAAAAGGATAGAAATCAAAAGGCATAGTAGAGTTTACACATGTTAAATGACTAAGAAATACTGAATAGTAGAATAAAAATGGGGTTTTATCTTGAAGAAGACTGAAGTTTGTGGAGGTGGGCTTCCAGAGAAATTTGTGAGCTATTACAAAGTGGTGGAAGGAAGGTGATCTGAAATAGGATGGAAAATTATAAAATCAAGAGGGATGAGTGAGTCTGGTAACACACGAGATGAACTGAGATAGCTAGTAGGTACATACATTTTGAGTATGGCTTGGTTTATTTGACTTGGTTGCAATCTTTTGTATTCACCTAGTATCTTTTTTCTTTTCCTAAATGAAATTATGCAAAAACAAAAGTGACATCTGCATTATACTCATACTGTCCCCTAATATATCAATTGAATTGGAACAAATTTGCTTTATACAGATAAGCCTTATAGGAAAACTGACTATGTGAGTAAGTACATATTTTGGAGAAAGGGATTAACTTTTTGTCAAAGAACAGGTCATCACTGCCTGTTTTTAGATGATTCATAATATGTTACTGAAAAGTCCAAATGATGATAGAATTTTTTTTTTTTTTACAGGAAACTACATTCTTAATTATGTGGCATCACAGCCCAAGCTGGCTCCCTTTGTTATCCAAGCTTTAATTCAAGTCATTGCTAAAATCACTAAATCAGGGTGGTTTGAAGTTCAGAAAGACCGATTTGTTTTCAGAGAAATTATTGCTGATGTGAAGACGTTTCTTCAGGTAAGAAGGCATTATTACATTATAAGAACATCAGTGATTCTTGTTTGTTTGGAAAACTGCTTTTCTTAAAGCTGTATAGTTTGTTTTGTGGCTACTAGAATGATATTAATTATGATTTATTATTTATCCGCTGGAGCCTATATTTTTTATTGCCAGGAAAAGAGGATCATATCGTATTAACTTCCAAACCTAAAGAAAGCAAATTATAATGTTTTGTAGTTTCAAAAATACATGTTGTCATTTCTAAGTGTGTGAGTCTGTGTATTCCATATATGCAAGCTTGTATATTTTCATGTATTTTATCTAACTTAATGCTCATTGCATCTCTTTGAAGGGAATTACATTTTGTAAATGAGAAACTGAGGCTTAGAAAAGTTAGTTAGTTTGTATAGGGTTGCATAGTGACCTCGTAAAGCATGGTGATAGTACTTCAGCAGGTTTGCTAACTTAAGATACATATTTAAAAATTTTTTACCTTATACCATGTTGAGTCATACTAGTTTCTCAAGAATGTTTTTAACCTCATTGATTAAAGTTATAACATACACAGGTTCAAGTATTTGAGCTGGAAAAAAAAAAGAAAAGCTGTGCTGTGTCGCTCAGTTGTGTCTGATTCCTTGCAACCCCATGGACTGTAGCCCACTAGGCTCCTCTGTCCACAGGGATTCTCCAGGCAATACTGGAGTGGGTAGCCTATCCCTTCTGCAAGGGATCTTCCCAACCCAGGAATTGAACCAGGGTTTCCTACATTGCAGATGGATTCTTTACCAGCTGAGCTATCAGGGAAGCCCAAATAGAAGCTGCTGCTGCTGCTGCTGCTACTAAGTCGCTTCAGTCGTGTCCGACTCTGTGCAACCCCATAGACGGCAGCCCACCAGGCTCCCCTGTCCCTGGGATTCTCCAGGCAAGAACACTGGAGTGGGTTGCCATTTCCTTCTCCAATGCATGAAAGTGAAAAGTGAAAGTGAAGTCACTCAGTCGTGTCCGACTCTTAGCGACCCCATGGGCTGCAGCCCACCAGGCTCCTCTGTCCATGGGATTTTCCAGGCAAGAGTACTGGAGTGGGGTGCCATTGCCTTCTCC